GGAAGGAAACGACATTGAACTTGTATCAAATTCAGCCTCATTAATTCAGCAAGCCACGAGAGTTAAAAACAAGGGTTTCTGAAAACGTTTTAGATGGTACTTTTGTTTCTGAAAAAGCACAGTTCAACAGGCTGATGAGTAAGATCTAAGAGGTGTCCAGCTACAGGCGAGATGAAGCTGTAGACCTGTCTGTGGCGCTTTGATGAAATAAAGTTCATCTAACATATATATATATGCCAAGGAAACCCTGCTCTACTCTGGGTCTAACACACGGGTCGCCGTGAGTGAGACTAATCTGGAAGTAACAGGTTTGGATGCGGTTCTTCGTTAAGTATCAACATTCTTGGCGCTGGAGAAGGGAAGGTGGAGGAGACTCTCTTCCTGAAAGGGGTGTTCCAGGAGGGGAGTTCTGAATCTTCCTTCTCACACACTATCGTTCTGGGAAGGTTCTCTCTCCTCTTGGCACAATCCCCGATTGTGGTCTTTTCTCAGACACCCCACCCCACCCACCCTGCCTTACGGTCTGGTCTTTGCCGGGGCAAATTATGCCTTCCTTTGGATCTGACTTTCTGCTGTTCTCCATCAAGGTTGTGACCTTGAGAGCTGATGGCTTTTCTCCGGAGACGCCTCTGGGTGCAATCGCATTTGCCAACCTTTGATGAGTTTCTGAGCACCGAACAAGGGCCCTTGTACCTTTCTTTGAAAGTAGACCTATTCACAAACGCACTGCTGTCCAGTGGATTCGGACTGACAGCAACCCTGTGGGACAGGGTAGGACTGGCCCTGTGGGTTTCCGAGACTAACTCGTGATGGCAGGAGGGAGCCCGTCTTCCTCTCTCAAAATTAAGACTGTTCTTTGCACTGACTCGTGCTGTGTTAGACCTCATGATGTTTAGGACTTTCTGCACCAGAGGGGCTTAAGGCAATAACCTGAATTGAAAAAGGGAGGTGGAGCCAGGTTGCGTGACACTTCACCCACAAGAGCCCTGCTGAGCCTCGGTGATCCAGACACGAGGACTGCAGACCCCGAGCCCCTGCGAGCTCCAACTGCGGACTCTGGTCTGCTTCCGCCTGAGTCCACTGAGAGGGGCCTGCAGGGATGCTGACCTGGAGCGGCTCCCCAGAACATTCTCCTGGAGAGCTTTACACAGACGTCCGGACAGAAGGACATCTGTGTGCGGCAGGCAAGGATAGGGGGCTCCCTGAGGCCTGCCCAGAGGTCACCTTGCTAGAATGAGGCGGACCCCGTCCCATGTCAGTCCTGACAGACTCCAGGGCACCTCCTCGGGTGACCACCTAACCTTCCACCACTAGGAGTTTGGGGAAAGCTTCGAGAAGGCCTTCCATAGAGGATGTGGCTGGATTGTGTGGCAGACATTGTGAGGCAGGGCAGATAACACTAATTCGGACTTGGGGCAGCTTGGCGACCACAGTGCCGGGCTGAGCTCTCCCCAGGTGCCTCTGCCGTGCTTACAGCAGGTGCTGAGTGATCTGAGAGGATGCTGTGGGTGGGTGGTCGTGCTGGAGGAGGGCTGTCTAGGTCTTATCAACCCGAAGGAAGAGAGGCCATGTGCCCGGGAGGGCACTGTGACTCCAGACAGTCAAGAGCTCGTTTGAATCCGAATGTGTTAAGTCCACCTTTATTCATTTCAAGATAGTCGGCTGTGAGTTTAGTTGTGAAGCTATTTTCTGGTCTCTTTCCCCCTAGAAAAAGCCTGGTTCTTGTTGCCTGGTTTGCAGGGACACATGGCTGGGAGAACCTGCCCTGCCAACAGAGGACAAAACTCTTCTTACAATTCCCTGAGGACTAAGGAGGCAGGGAGTGGAATGAATGGATGAAATGGAGAATTTATACAATAAGATATGCTGCAGATAAAGTATTGCTCTGGCACACAGGATGCTCTTAGTGGATCTCAAGGAAGCCCTTCATGGTGATTTTAAGAATGTGGGTCCTAGAGTTAGATCAGCTGTGTTTCAATCCAGTCTTGCCACTTCGGGACCCTTGACTTTGACCACTCTGTGCCTCAGTTTCCTCATTTGTAAATAAGGGCTAGTAGCCCTGGTGGTGTACTGGTAATGCTTTTATTTACTGCCATCAAGCAGCTAGTAGCATAGTGGGCTATGTGTTGGGCTGCTAACTGCAAGGTCAGGAGTTTGAAACCACCAGCTGCTCCTAGGGAGAAAGAGAAGGCTTTCTACTCCTGCAAAGAGTTACAACCTCGGAAATGTACGGGGGCAGTTCTTACCCGGTTCTGTAGGGTCCCTATGAGTCAGCATTGACTTGACGGCTGTGAATGAGTGTTACTGAAGGAGCCCGTGTGGCAGATGGTTAAGGGACCCAACTACTAACCAAAAGGTCAGCAGTTCACACCGAGCAGCTGCTCCAGGGTAGAAAGCTGTGACAGTCCGATTCCATACGGATGACAGCCTTTTAAATTTATTTTTAATTAATAAATAATTTTATTGGGGGCTTTTGTAACAATCCATACATCAATTGTATCACACATTTGTACATAGGTTGCCATCATCATATTCAAAACATTTTATTTCTGCTTGAGCCCTTGTTATTAGCTCTTCAACGATGACAGTCTTGAAACTTGATGATGCCTGGTGATCAGAAAGAAGCCCAGCTGCGGTCTTCAAAGGCTTGCTTTCAAACAAGTGAGGCATCAACTTCGTCCACATGGAAGAGGCATGCCAGCCTGTGTGATCCAAGGATTAGAAATAATATCACCCAAATCTAAAGGAGGGAATGGTATCTATCAGAGCTTAACTTGTGAGCACCTGGTTTGCGGAATGACAATGGAAGCCCAGATCCATGTGCAGGGGACACACATGGATTAATCATCTGGTGAATCCCTTCTGTTCATACTTGAAGCAGGGATGTGACTAGCTCTGTTACCAGATAGAGAGCATTGTAAGTCAATTATGGAAGACACAATTAGCTAAAAATGTAATATCTTATCATCTGATCTCCCTTTTGACCCATTTTAAAGTTGTTTTAGTTTTAAAAAGGGGTGGGGTGGGGTGGAAAGGGAACTATTTGTGGATTAAGCCACTGGTGAATCCTTTCTGATCCTGGACCAGGGATGTGAACAGCCTTGCTATCATGAAGAATGCATTGGGAAGTGGATTGTTGCAGATGCAGTTAGGTTGAAATTTAGCACCCTATCATTTGATCTCCCTCATGATTCACTTGAATTTGTTCTAGTTTTTAATATTTTTCGGTCTCTTTTTCAATTGAGGTGTTTATCTGTTTTAATTTTCTATTTATTTACTAATGGTTTTCTGTATATGAGATCCAGGATAGGTAAATCTACAGAGGCAATAACTGGATTAATGTTTCCTTGGGGGCTTGGCAGGAGAGGTTGGGAGGAAATGGGAAGCTAAAAATAATGTATGCAAGAGTGAAGAAGATGTTCTAACACGGATTTCGCAACTCTTCCCGATGTGATAAAACTATTGAATTGTATGGTATATTAATTATATGCCAATAAGACTCTTGGGGGAAAAACAAGCTGACAGTTTGTTCTACTCTGTCCTATAGAATCACCCTGAGTCTGAATCCACTTGAAGGCACTGTTTTATTTATTTATTTTTTTTGGGGGGCTTGTTTGTTTAAACACGATTAACCTCGTAGAACTGTTGTAAAGATTAAATGAATGAATCCATTTAAATGCATTGCACACTGGCTAGCAGTTAATACAAGCGAGTTGGAATTATAATTATGATTTTCTTCATTTGTTCATTCAGTCAAGGACGGGAAACTTTCTTGCCAGTGGGCTGCTAGCATACATGAGGGAACTGGAGGTTCAGGAGCCCTGGTGGCTCTGTGGGTTAGGCACTGGACAGCTAACTGCTTGGTCAGTGGTTCAAACCTATCAACCCCCCTTCTAGGGAGAGATGAGGCAGTCTTGGTAAGCCTCTAGGTAGGGTCTCATTGAATCCGAATGATTGGATGGCAGTGGCTCTGGTTAGGGAGGAGCCGAAGGGTGCCCTCTAAAGGGGAGATCGATGCTGAGGTTTTTAGAAGATCTTCTTGTGCCGTGTCACCCCAGGTCTCAGTACAAGTCCTAATACTATATATATATATATTTTTTTTTCTTTTTTTTTTTGCATTTTCTCCTTAAAAGGGCTTTTGGGGAGGGCAGGCCCTTGGCCCGCTGCTGGGTTCCCAGGTTTGTTCTCGGCACCTTCTTTTCCCATCCGAAGAATCGCGCCCGCCTCGCCTTTCCTCCTGCCGGGCGCCCAGCACCTTTCTCCGAGCCCAGCCGTCAAGGAAGGGCCCCGAAAAGAGGGCGCCTGTGCGTCATCGTTCCCGGGGAGCACTGCAAACCACACGAGAGACAGCAGAGGTGGCTTTGGGGGCGTCTGAAGAGCGCGCGGGGACGGGGCGAGGCTGGGCGTCGCGGGCGGAACCGGCCCCGCCAGCAGGCGGCTGGCTATTTGTAAGGCTTGCAAGGTTCCCATGCTGGAAACTTGCTCGGGATGATGATGCCATCGCTCGGGAAGAGCCCGTCGCAGCCGCTGCTGCCACTAAGGGAAAAGTAAGACGAGACGGGAGCTTCCCGTTGAAGTGGCTCAAGGATTCAGACGAGCTTTATCCGGGAAGACTTCAAGGAGAGGGTGAGTACTGAGCCGTGCATGGTCCTGGCACCGCGGTCCTTTTTTCCAGAACATTGCCGCGGATTGCGTCGACTGGCTTTTGGAGAAAGACACTTCTGGAAGGGAGCTGCCTGCACTGGAGGAAAGAGCGCGGTCAAGAAGCCCGGGAACCCCCTCGCCCGGGCGCCCCGCTCTCGGTCTGCATCGGGAGGAGCGTGGCTCCGCTCCGCCAGATGGCGCTGTCAGACTTCTCCCCGGGCTCCCGCGCCAATCCCCGGGGGCCGCCAGCTGCAGCGGCCACTCTAGCCGGCCTCCGCGGGCTCAATGGTTCCGGGCGGAAGTGAGGAGCCGGACGGAACGGCCTCTGGTGACATTTTCTCCGGGCGGCGCGGACGAGTGAAGGGACCCGGTGGTGGTGGAGTCTGCGAAGGCGGCGATCTTCGCTCTGGCCCAGGCAGGGCTCCGACCGCGTCCCTGCGCTCGCTGCCAGGCCTTCTGCACAGGAAGAGAAAGCGGCGGTGGCCTCCGCGTCCCAGGTCACTGCGGCCGTGAGGGTCCGGGCCAGGGGGCCGGTTCGTGCCCCGACGGGGCGCGCCGTGCGGGCAAGGAAGTGCGGAGCGGCAGCGGAGCGCAGGTGAGGCGGGAAGGGGCGCGGGGTGGAGCTTCCACCCGGGCTGCGTCCCGGGGAGCGCTCGGGTCGAGTCCCTGAGGTGCGGGCCGCGGGGAGCGCTCGGCGGCGTCTGGGCGCCCGGGTGGTGACGGGCCAGCCTGGCGGGCGCGGGCTGTTCGCGCCTGGACTTGGCCCGCCGTGCGGCCCGGGCGGGGCGGCCGCGAGGGGGCCGGAACAGGCACGACCCCCTTGCTCGCCCGCCCGCCCCCCCACGGGTGACCCTCGCGTCCTCCGGGCCCGGCGGAGTTGGCGGGCCGAGCGCCTTCCCTTCCGCTGCCGGTGGGGCCCGGGCTAGGCGAGTCGAGGCGGGTCCCTTTCCGCCGGGCTTAGGGGGAGGTCGGCGCGGTCGCAGCCCCGGACGGCGGGGAAAACAGGCTTCGGGGCCCCTGGAGTTCTCTTTGCGCAACTTTCCGGCGCTCGCCAGGGCTGGCGCCGCCACCTGCCCCTATCCCGAGAGCCCCGGCGGCTGCCCCGGCGCCGGGCGGCCGTGGCCTTGGGGGGGGGAGAGAGGCTTCTCCGCGGGCTTGGCGCCGCCCGCTTCTCGGTGCTTCCACCACCCTTGGTCCGCTGGCGCCTCCGGTTAGTGGGAGGGATGTGTCAGCATCCAAAATTGACCTCCTCTGGCGAGTTCGTCAACTTTATTTAACCCCCCCCACCCCCCCCAGGATGTAAACGGACGAGTCTCCTAAGTTAAAATCGTCGCCTTCCCTTAGCTGCTCCGGGGGGCGCGCGGGGTTAGCGGGGGGGAGAGTTCGAGAGTTTGTTTGTTTTTTTTGCCCAGTAGCTACCAGCACCTCCAACTGTGTTTCTTAGAGCCCCCACCCCGGTGGTCGCGGGCTGTCGAAGCAGCCACCCCCATCCGGCCGGCACGCCGTTCCGTCCCTCGCCCATCTCCCATCGCCCATCTCCCTCTTCCGTGCCCACCAATCACCTGCTCTCAGGTTGAAGGACTGGCCGCCGGCGCTGCCTCACCGGTCCCTTCCCTGCTTGAGCGGTTTGTGCTTGGGCGTGCTCTTTTTGCTGCTTGACCAGAGCGTGTGCTTCCCGGATCCTTCCACCCAGTAGGAGGAAAATCCCACTGTTGAGGCTTTGTCAAGGTTGGACCTCTTAATTACAAATGCATCTGGCAGTTTTGCTTAGGCTATTATTGTGTGTTATGGTTGGGCACATGCTAACTGTTTGAATCACTCCCTTTCTTCTCCTGGGATACTTTAAGGATGGAGGCTATTAACTTTCTAATGTCGTTTTGCTGATTCTGGCAATCTGGGTTCCTCCAGTAATCAGAGCATTGCCTTTTGGTTTAACAAGCATTTTTAGAGGCCTACAGTTGGTAGTTATTACCTGGTGGCCTGAGGAGTCACAGCCTTAGCTGTTTTTTCGTGCAGAGTATGATGTTTTCGCCATGTAATATGCCCAGTACCCTGTCTTGTTACAGCTCTTTGTGCACACCGGTGCTCAGTAAGTGGGAAAATATGAATGAAATTTGAATTCAGGAAATTGAGATGGAATTGACTATGCTGACCTTAAAAAACAAACAAAAAAATCCAACAACAAAAAACTTGGTGAAAAAATGTCTACCCTTCCATCAACTGAGAGGGGAAGTTATTTCTTAGACAATTTTTTTCCTTAGACAATTTAAAATCAGGTTCTTCCCCTAGAGTGCTTTTCAGCATTGTCGTCTTTAAACTTCACACTGTATCTTTCTCATAATGTTAACATACTGTGGATGGAAATTTCAAACTAGGTGCATACAGTATGAAAAAGGTGTGGTTTCTTAAGATACCAGCCTGAAACTTCAAGATAATTTTACCCGAAGGGCCAACACAGTCATGTCTTCATGGGAAGTTTCCCCCTATGGTTTTTCTTTGGGTGGCAAGTGGGATGCACTGACTGGGCTTTGCAGCTGGAGACTCTCCTACTGCTCGCTTCCTGCTGTGATCACCATGCAGTTGTTAGATTACTCACGGATTCACTGGACATCGCTTTTACACACGTTTCTGTAAGCATGGCAGTCATGTTCCTCTTTGTCTTATAGCCGTTATGGTGAATTCAAGACCTGTGTATTAAATATAAATTCACCTCTAGGTTCTAGTTTGATGCAACTGAATGAGAACTGGGCGCTGATGCCTAATTAGCATGCCCTTCAAAGATTTATTTTAATATTTCATGGTGACCTTGGTACCTTAAATCTCCTTACCGTGTGACTAGTAACTTTTGTCAGCTTTTGCAGTCTCTAATTATTCCCGGAGTGGTTACTTTTGCTGAGATACCAACCTCATGGTTTTGCTCTGCTAACTTGCAGGAGCAGACTTAACTTGAGCTAAAATAATCTGTGCAGTGAAAATGATTTTTGTTTGATTTTCTCTTTCTTAAAAGTTTGGAACTGGTATACAGTATATCCTCAAGACCCAAAGCCTACATTTGTAATTTTAATTTTGGTAAATCATCGTAGACCATTTGTCAATTTCTTCTATGTAGTAATGAGGGATAATAATTATCCATGTCTTCCGAATTGACATTAATTGGGGAAAGCCTCTAAAGAAAAAAACTGCTGAACAGTACTCTTTTTTCTTTTTTTTCAACTTTATTTTGTGCAATGCAACAATTCGTATATGTACAATTTAATGACATTGATGATTCCTCTAGTTACGCAATCATTCTTTTCCTTTACTGAGTTGTTTCTTTTTTTTAATCGTTGTATTAGGGGCTCATACAACTCTTATCACAATCCATACACACATCAATTGTACATTCATTGCCTTCATCATTCTCAAAACATTTGCTCTCCCCCTAAGCCCCTGGCATCAGGGCCTCCTTTTCCCCCCCCCCCCCCCCCCCCATCCCTCATGAACCCTTGATAATTTGTAAATTATTTTTTTGACATATCTTGCCCTGTCCGACGTCTCCCTTCACCCACTTTTCTGTTGTCTGTCCCCCAGGGAGGAAGTCACTTGTAGATCCTTGTAATCGGTTCCCCCTTTCCGACCCACCCATCCTCTATGCTCCCAGTATCGCCACTCACACCGCTGATCCTGAAGGGATCATCCGCCCTGGATTCCCAGTGTACATCCTCTGGTCTAGCCAGATTGAAAGGTAGAATTCGGATCATGATGGGGGTGATGGGGAGGGAGGAAGCATTTAGGAACTAGAGGAAAGTTGTATTTTTCATCATTGCTACATCGCACCCTGACTGGCTCCTCTCCTCCTGGAGACCCTTCTATAAGGGGATGTCCAGTGGCCTACAAATGGGCTTTGGGTCTCCACTCTGCACTCCCTCCCTCATTCACCATGGTAAGATATTTTGTTCTGAGGATGCCTGATACCTGATCACTTCGACACCTTGTGATCGCACAGGCTGGTGTGCTTCTTCCATGTGGGCTTTGTTGCTTCTGAGCTAGATGGGCGCTTGTTTATCTTCAAGCCTTTAAGACCCCAGACGCTATATCTTTTGATAGCCGGGCACCATCAGCTTTCTTCACCCCATTTGCTTATGCACCCATTTGTCTTCAGCGATCTTATCATGGAAGTGAGCACACAATGATATGATTTTTTGTTCTTTGATGCTTGATCACTGATCCCTTTGGCACCTCGTGATCACACAGGCTGGTGTGCTTCTTCCATGTGGGTTTTGTTGCTTCTGAGCTAGATGGGCGCTTGTTTACCTTCAAGCCTTTAAGACCCCCAGATGCTATATCTTTTGATAGCCAGGCACCATCAGCTTTCTTCACCACATTTGCTTATTCACCAGCTTTGTCTTCAGCGGTTGTGTCCGGAAGGTGAGCATCATGGAATGCCAATTTAATAGAAGAAAGTATTCTTGCATTGAGGGAGTACTTGAGTGGAGACCCAATGCCCTTCTGCTACCTTAATACAAAACCTATAAAGATATGCACATAGGTCTATTTCCCCATCCTCATATATAAATATATTTGCATATGTACATGTCTTTAGATCTCTATAAATGCTCTTTACCTCCCAGCTCTTAACTCTATTTCCCTTGACTTACCTCCTGTGAACAGTACTCTTAATAGGCTTTATTTCGAGACATTCTAATTCTAGTATTATCTGTTATTTTGGGAAACAATTTGCAACCAAGTAAAGTTACAGGTAGCTGTAGTAATGTAGCCAAAATGAGATAAACATGTAACAACTAAGTAGGAAGCTGCAAGAATATAAGCACAGATAAGAGCCATTGAGATCATTGGATAAAATATTTTGGTTGAACCTCGTTCTTTTGAAATCCTGATTTGTTTGTTTGCTGTGTACCAGAAGTGCCTGTTGCAATAGCTCTATAGCAACAAATGAGACAGACAAGGCCCTGGTACTCAGGGAATTGTGCATTTAAACCTGAGGTCCAGAGCTGGGTTTCCACTGGACATTCCGGGCTCAGGAAAACTGGAGCGTGCATGAGTATCAGTGCTTGTGACTGGTTTAAATGTGGCCAGACCTTTGCGTGTTCAGAAGAACAATAGAAAGGGTGGATGCAGGGTCAGATTGTGTCGGTGCCTCAGTTATACTGAGCTCTGGATTTTCTTCTTTTAGAGAAAAAACTAACATGAAATTCAAAGTGTTAGCTAGCCCTACCTTTTGAAGATTCTTCTTCATTTCTCCTAGAGTTCAATGAGTAGAAGTTTCATTGGCGTTGTTTACACAGGGGCTTGATTCATTCTCATCAGATTTATCGATTTACTCATGGACTGGACTCTTTATCATTAGGCTAAAGTCATCTCATAGCCCTCACCCTTCTTTCCCTTCAGATGTCAGACTCCAGTCTTAAGTTTGATTGACACTGAACTTTTCTGAGTTCTTCTAGCATCTGTCTTCTGTTGTACCTACCATCATACTCTTTCGGGACTCTGATTGAATTTAAGGGACACGAACGGGGTTTTTTGCTTGTGTGTGGAATACTTACTTGCTTTTCGGTAGGACGCTATCAGTGTGGGTGGGTAGCAATGGAATTGATG